CCCCCGACGCGCCGATTTTGCGTTTTCTCTTTTTTCTTTCGTTTACGTTTTTTTTTTTTTTTTTTTTTTTTTTTTTACTTTATCTTACTCCACGGTAGCACGAGAAAAAAACCACACCGCACCGTTCTAGCAGTCACTCGCATATGCAAACGCATTAATCGCGGGATACCGAAGACGAGGGGGGTAGCGTGCAGAGACATGCGGGATGGTCGAGCCATACCGACTGCAACGTGACCGTCGATCCGCGGTCGACCCAATTGGACGCGCGAGTCACGTGGTACGGCAAGTCACGTTGCAGTCGCCGTGGCCGCTGAGAAAGTGTTTCACGGGACTTCATCGTTCTCCGCGTACTGAACTTCTCTCTCTCTCTCTTTCTCTCTATCTATCTCTCCGTTGTATTTTTGCTTTGTTTTTTTTTATCGCTCTTCCTTTCACCGTTTCCATGAGATCCCCCCTTTCATCGTCTAATTTAAATCCGAAATTAAAACTTCAACAGTTTTACCACTGAAAAACATCGCAAGATTTTTAATAATAGTTAAAAAAAAAAATACGGGTGTATATTTGGGGGTGTATATACGTGTAGTCACTTTTCCGTCACATAAATTGTCTATTCGTCAATTTTCTATTACAAAATTTTCGGTGTATTACATCATCATACATCACAAGTTTTTTCTTTTATTACCGAGTAAACTTCTAACTTTCTCTCACAGTTGATTAATTGACAAACTATACCCGTGTCAATAAACATTGTTTTTCATCAAGACAACATTTTAATGACGAGAAGATTGAATATTCTGTGCAATTGTTTGAACTAACCATTCAATAATTGATTTAACAGAAATATTCTAGAGAGAAACAAAGTCAGTGCTTAAACAGTCACGGCAAGAAAGAAAATTCAATAATTTAATAATCAATTTAAACATTTGGAGTAATCGTTAAACAAAATGTGTAGAATATTTTTACGTGTAATGTGGTTAACAATTTGCTCTGCATCAATATTGCGACAACTTGAAACCAATTTTAGGCAATAAACATCTTGCCGTGAGGTGTGTCCTATTATTGACATCATACACTGGTTGTAAACAAAAAACAAAACAAACGCTTGCGAGAAAAATAGTCAAAATTAAAGCAAATTGTTTAATGAAACGTGATCTTGGCACGTTTTAGCTATTACACTTACTTTTCAACAGCCACACTTAACTTTGACATAATTTTTCTTAATTCTTTGACAACAATTTTTATAACAAATAACTTTATGTATATTATAAACACATTCTCTATATCTTATATACACATGGTTTTTGTGAGAAAATTAATAGTCCCATAGAACGTTTGCTGGGACGGAGAACAAGATCCAAATCCAGACGAATCGTTGAACAGTCAGCAAACTCGGGCTGGATGAGAATGTTACGTTCTTTTTTAAAACTACACCAACGCGACCCTGTCCGCAAAACGGTTCCTGGATACCGCTCACCTGTAAGCTCGAACCTGCGAGCAGAGAAAAAAAAAAGAGTTATTGACATTTTACAATTCCGAGCCCCGATTGAGAAAAAAATTCTCATTGTACTCACTTATGGCAATTGTGCAATGGGGCGCTGTGGGCGGATCGTTGACTCTGCCGTTTTTCCACGGCTCTGAACAATTAGCGCGTATTCCTGTATCGAAAATGTCATGCAATCTATAACAGCATTCGCCTTTGTTACTGTGCAGGGACTTCACGGCTTGCTCGCCAGCCTCAGGTATATCTGGGTCTGAAACGCATGTACATAGACGTTGAAACAATTATCAAATGTCACTCACGATATATGTATGAATTTGTTCCAAGTATGATCCAAGTGTTCAGTTTGATTGCTTTCTTTTCTCACCTTGGCAAAGGAAAGTGCCTTCGCCCGCGTATTGCGTAGAAAGTGCTGGAGCACGATCAGTAGGCACCAAGTAAGGACAGGTTTGCTCCACTTTGTAACACACTGATCGGCAAGGTCTGATTCTGGTCCAATTAACAGTCAGAGTAGTCGCGTCTTTTGGGTCGTGGGCAAAATAAGGTACCATGACACTGCAAATCCATTTTCTGTACGAGTCCTGTAAGCAAAATTATCGAATTTCATTAAACAAGTGCTTGAACATATCCGCTAATTAAATTCAATTGTCCAACAAACACACGATACAAAATATATACACGATACTGTCTATAGATCTTACCAGACAGTGCGAGCAGTTGTGCACCACAGAGTATGTTTGGCGACAATCGAACCGGCCTATCACTTCCTCAAATTCGCAAATTATTCGTGCCGTCATATCATCAACGGCCATCAGTTTGTCCAGAACGGCTTCGCATTTAAGTCCGCCCTTCAGTACGTCCTCGAGTGGACCGTCTTTGCCCGGCGCCAAGGCACTAACCACCGAATGGTGGCAACAGTGCCGTAGACGCAGCTTGCTTGTGGAATTGTATCTCTTTTCCCTGGTGTCGTCGTCCCTGCAAATTTTCTTTTTATACGACTCATCCAGATAAGAGAGACACTTCCTTTGCTTCTTCTCCTTATTGCCGGAAGTTTTACTGGAAGTAAAATCCGCGATGTTCTCGTCCAGTTTTGGGCACGACATTGGACACCACTGGACGTAGTCGAACATCTGCGACGGGCGACATTCGCCTCGAAGATCCGGGGGATCTGGTCCCGCGAGATCGCAAGCCGACAACCACGGATTTATTTGATTGATCTCCCAGGTGTATTCGGTGTACGGATGTTGCCGCGGCTTCGCCTTCTCCTCTTCTTCGTCTTCTTCTTCTTCATCTTGTCTCTGACCGTTCTGCTCGCTGTGACTATGATCGACGTTACGGTTGTACTTCGATTCGTATCGCGGCGTCTGATGATTTTGATCGATAGTCGTCAACATCGAGTACGGTGTGTCCACTGACTTGGACGTCTTCGTGTGTTGCACCGTGGTCTTGGAGTAAGTGGTGATCGGATTTCGCGCGTCGGACAAAACGAAACACGCAAGAAGCAAGATCTCCGACAACATCAACGACATCCCAACAATTTTAAATAAATCTTTTTCTCCTTTCTGTTTTTCAGACGAGCTGTTGACGCGTCCGCATCCATCAGCCATTCGTTCTTCTCGCACGCGTCTCTTTTACGCATGATCCACGATGATCGCAGAAACACATGGACGACCATCTCTCACCTCGCGGAAAGTCGCAATGAGACACGAGAAAATCGGTCTCTCGCGCCTCATCACGTTCGAACTCTTCAATTTTCTCTTCGCATCACGAACGGTCCGGTCGCCAAATATTTTTTGTACACCGCGGCGAGATCACAATCATCCCTCATCTCGAAGGAACCGACAACGTCAATTTGCCAAGCAATTTCCCGTTGATGTAATTAGCGATGGTAGCGTCTGACATTCGACATCTTGCATCCTTGATCGATCGAGAACCAGTGTCAATAGTGTCACTGAGAACGACACAAACTGGCCGAGGATTAACGCGGCTCGCCATCTTTATTTAAAGGGACGGACTTGCTCATGCGCTCCATAGAACATCTAGCAGAAGTGCTTGCTCAGTCGCGGATATATCTCGTTTCTACGGAGAAAATGGAAAAAGTTAAAGGGAAATGGCGGTAAGATAATATTGTTATATCTCAATATTTCATATTTCAATATAATAATATTATCTTATATCATAACCGACAGGAAATTTACAAATGTAACAGTCAGTTTTTATTTTTTTTTTACGACCGTTTATAAAATTCAATATATATTTTTTGCACAAAAATTGCGGATAAACTCAATATCTTTATATTTACAATACTTTATAATCTTTTATATTTTATTTACTTCGAGTGCAATTGTTAATTAACAATCGACTTTGATTATTCTCTGAAAAAACATCCCGAATACCGCACGCGTGTACGAGTGTGGCGAGCCTCGCTGATGTCACTCGCGCATGCGTGACTTCGTCGTGAGATTTTTTTCACATTTACATAAGTATAAAAAAATCTAAGAGCATCCATTTTCTTAGCACAATTATCTGGGTCAATATTTTTAATATATGATTGAGACACTTTTATAATGTATAGAACAAAAACACGGATTTTTGATGCGAGAGAATTAAACGTGTTTCGTCTCGAAATGTTTAAGTCCGTGGTCGATGGTAAGGACAAACGAATGTAGGATGATTCTAAATTTAGCGAGGCACCCAAAACGTTTGGGAAAAGTTCCATCGCACGTTACTCCGCGTTTCGTCGAACTGAAATTCCAGAAATTCTGCGAGACAAAAATTTGTTTTGTTTTTGTTTTTGTTTTTTTTTCCGCGCGTTTACGCAACGAGTAATTTCAGATGCGTTAGTTTCCGTTGAAAGAGTTTATCTGGCAAACGCGCATTTTCAATGCGAGAACTACAGGTAAGATCGATGAGGAAAAATGTGATGCACGTACGAGCGCACAGTCTAATTTTGATCTTCCAACAACTCGATCTTAAATACACACCTCACCAGTGTTGTTGTTGCGACGATGCGATCGCCGTTGAAAACGTCGAATTAGTTTCCGAGAAACTTAGGCGCGCAAAAATAATCAGTGTAGTCAAAAACAAAAAAAAAAAAAGCGGCAGAACGCGCAAGTAACTGAAGTGCTACTTTGCAGATCACACCGAAATGAATCCGAGAGAGAGATCGGGAGTTCTTTTGCTCGCAATTGTGCTGGCAATAGCGGCACGCAGTTATGGCGTCGTGCGACCCATAAAAATCGGTGAGAAACTCAAGTGTCGTTTTTTTTTTTTTTTTTTGACTAGTCTTTCTAGATTTCTAATGTAAAACATCTTTCAGGTGGCATTTTTCACCAAGGTGACGAGGATTACATGGTTGCGTTCGTGAAAGCAATTGCCGACACGAACATAAATATGAAGTATGAATTCATTGCGCCAGCATTTGAGTTCACGAACGTTACTGTTTACATTGAAGACCGAACTGACAGTTTCAAAACTCGCGCGGCTGGTGAATATCTAATTAATTTCGCCATTTAATTTGTTTTTTACTTTCGCTTGTTAGAAATTGTCTCTTTTTCTGCGCAGTCTGCGAGCTGCTTCAGGAAGGTGTGGCGGCGATTTTCGGACCAGCCAGTCCGTACACTCGGGGAATAGTCGCGAGCATTGCGGCCAGATACGACATACCGCATATCGATTTTGTCTGGCGGGAAAACGAGGGATCGCCGGAGGAGAGAAATCTATCGCCTATGACCATTAATGTGTTTCCGGACAGCGAAATGATCAGTCAGGTTTGCAGTCATATAAAAAAAAAAAAGTTCGTCGAACAAATCGAAGTAACCACCGACGTGGTGTATTTTGGTGTATTTGCGGGATTCGATCCCGATTAAATCGAATGAAAATTGTGTAATTTAGTTTTCGCATTAAGTTAGAAAAAAAAAAAACGGAATCTTATAGTTTTCTCTGATTTTTAAATATTATAAAAGTTAAAAAAATAAAATTGACAAAACTGCACGCAGGCTATCGCGGATGTGATCGAGTCACTGGGTTGGAAAAACTTTATCGCGATTTACGAAGACGACGAGGGATTATCGCGTCTACAGAAAACGTTGACTCTGAAACGAAAAAAGGACGATCCCATTACAATACGTCAGCTAAGCGAAGGACCGGATTATCGTTCCATACTCAAGGAGATACGCTCGTTGTCGGTTTGCAATATAATTATCGACGTTGATCCCAAAAAACTCATGGATGTTCTCATGCAGGCGAGGCAGGTCAAGCTGTTAGCGGATTATTGCAATTTTATATTGACCTATCTGGTAATACACTACTGTTTTGTTGTTGTACGTAATACGAAAGAAAGAAATAAATTGTTTTTCCACGGGCGATAATTAATTAATCTTGCAGTTAAATTTCGACATCGAAAATAATTAAATAGAAAAGAGATTCGCACAAAATATAATTTTTTACAAATTAGCAAAAGCGTTCCGATTTTGTAGGATTCGCCCAACTTGCCTATCTACGATGTCAAAAGTGAAAACATCACCACAAACATAACTGGGCTTAGTTTAAAAGAAAACTTTGAAGATAGTGTTGAAGGAGTTAACTGGGTAATGAATTGAGATCTCTTGATCAATATTTTAATATCTCGTTTAGCGAAATACTGTATATTATATTGCCATCATGATGAATTGTTGTTTGCAATTTTGATGCAGATGAACTCAGCGGTTCTTTACGACGCTGTGTTTTTGGTAAGCAAAGCGATGGAAGTGTTAAACGCAAGGATGATCGAGGACGATGTGCTCATCGATCCTTTGCAATTATCCTGCGACGAAAGTACCAAGTATCATGCAGGACCGAACATTAGCGCCGTTATGAAAGAAGTAATTGTGAAAAATATAAATAGAGAAAAAATATAGATAGGGGAATTTGTCGAAAAAAACACCGATCTTATACAAATTTTGTTTGATGCTGACAATTTAATTTATCATTTTATTATGCGAGAAATAACTTAATTAAGGATTTTCGTCGTAGATATCGAAGACGGGGAAAATGACGGGAATGATGGATTTTGACGAGTTTGGTCGCCGACGAGGTTTCACCATCAAGATATTTGATTTTCGACGTCCGAAACCTGTGGAACTTGGTTCTTGGAGTCCTGAAACTAAAGTGAGCCTTAAGGAAAATAAGGAAGAACTTGAGATTTACTTGACCAAGTCCATTCAAGAGAAATTGTTTATTATCACCACAAGAATAGTACGTAATGTTATTATCTTTTTGTAGATGTAACGAATATGTGCAATTTTATTTGTATTTAAGGGTGCTCCTTATGTTATGGAAGTTGTCGATGGTAGCAATCGCGGCGTTTTGATCGATCAGAGACGCTACGAGGGATATTGCATCGATCTGATCGAAAATATTGCGAATATTTTACGTTTCAAATATCAATTCGAACTGGTTCCCGATGGGCAATACGGCAAATATGACGACAAAAAAAAGTCATGGAACGGACTTATCAGGCGTCTTCTAGATCGCGTATGTAGGATCTTGAATTTCCTTTGGTTTTCTTTTTTAATTTCACAAGACTCAACAAAATCAAGGCTCAACAAAAATAATATAGAAAATTTTTACATATAATTGCTTATTTTGCAGGAGGCCGATCTCGCAATTTGCGATCTGACGATTACCTACGAGCGAGAGTCCGCTGTCGACTTTTCCATGCCGTTCATGAACTTAGGCGAGTTTTAAATATAAAGAAATTATGTTGTTTTTTTTATTGTGACGAAATATCGGCATTTGTTTGTGTTATCAGAAAGCTAAATTACTGATCTATTTTAAATTTTTAGGTATCAGCATCGTATTTAGCAAGCCGGAAGACAAAGTACCGGATCTTTTCAGTTTTCTCAGCCCATTGAGCGCGGACGTTTGGATTTACATGGCAACAGCTTATCTTATCGTATCATTAATGTTATTTTTTCAAGCGAGAATGGCACCCGCTGAATGGGACAATCCCCATCCCTGCAATGCCGATCCCGAGGAATTGGAAAACAACTTCGATCTGAAGAATAGCCTATGGCTGACCATCGGGTCTCTTATGCAGCAAGGTTCTGATATTTTACCGAAGTACGCATTTTCTCTGAATGTATCTTAATTATTAAAGAACAAACCCCAAACAAAACTCATTGAAATATCAAAATTCACTTAAAACAAACTGAGATTATCTTCAGAGCACCCAGTATCAGAATGTTGGCGTCCATGTGGTGGTTCTTCACATTGATCATGATCAGCTCGTATACGGCAAATCTCGCTGCTTTTCTAACCGTAGCTAACATGGACACGGTATTCGGAAATGTGGAAGATCTGGCTAAGCAGACGAAGATCAAGTACGGTTGCATCGAAGGCGGCTCGACGTCGTCTTTCTTCGAACACTCGAATTACTCAACTTATCAACGGATGTACGCCGCCATGAAGGAAGCTAGACCGAGCGTCTTCACCAAGACCAACGATGAGGGTAAATGACTCGAAAGCACAAGATAAAAAAAAAAAAAAAACTCTAGTTTCTTCTTTTGTATAATTTCTCTTTTTACTTTCATTCTTTGGAATTTTCACTCAGGAGTCGACCGTGTTGTAAAAAGCAAGAGGACTTACGCATTTCTGATGGAGAGCACCACCATCGAGTACAAAATGGAACGTAACTGTGAGATCGAGAAAATAGGAGGCCTCATCGACAACAAAGGATACGGAATAGCGCTACCTAGAAGTGAGTACATACATTTTTGACTTGAGTTTTGTCGTGTCGCAGTCAACTAATTTGATATGTACGAGAGGCAGTCTGTTTTACTTTTATGATTTTTTATAGATTCCCCGTATCGCACTCTGATCAACAGTGCAATCTTGTCATTAGGCGAAAAAGGCGTTTTGTCTACTCTGAAGAAAACATGGTGGATCGAGAAAGGCGGTGGATTGTGCAAAAAAGACGAGACAGATAGCTCAAGTTCGAGCGCAGAACTTGGACTGGCAAACGTCGGCGGTGTGTTCCTTGTATTGATCTGCGGTTGCGCTGCTTCGTTTGTCATCGCTATTTGCGAATTTCTTTGGAACGTCCGACAGGTCGCAGTGAAGGAAAGGATCACACCGTGGGAAGCGTTCGTAGCCGAATTCAAATTTGCCATCAATATTTGGGCAGTAACGAAACCTGTTAAAATCTCACAGAGCAGCGGTACGAGTTCTGTGGAGGGCAGACTCGCTAGTAGAGCAGCTAGTAGAGCAGCTTCCGCGGCTCGGTCCATCGTCGGATCCTTCATGCGTCTCGACATAATCGATAAATTCGACAAGGATCACAACACGAACAGCCGCAACAACGATCGCAAAATTAATTAGAAGCTGTCAGACAATTTGCACATAAACACGCTTGGAAAAGTAGTGTTATTAGACGAACATCAATATTGTGAAAAATAAATGGTAAAGTAGAGAAGGAGCCATACAAAATATTTTTAATTTTTCGAAAAATGCTCAACCATTTAAAAATTACGTACATAGATGTGTACGTCACATAGATAATTTTTTTTTCACAAAAGAAATTATTCCTCTCTCTCTCTCTCTCTCTCTTTCTCTCTGCGATTTATTTCAAGTTCAATCTCATGGAAAAATAATGCAATGTTTTATTTAAAAAAAAGTATCAAGAAGAAATTTCTCTCTACCCTTAAAGGGACCATTGCGAGACGATGACAGCATAAACCAATTCAGACGATGACGTAAACTCGTTCTGTCTTTCTTCTTCTAGGGGTCGCTTTGCTATCGCGCGTCTCTTCATCCTCCCACCGCGTTTCTGACGTTTCTGCAGCATCCTTTCGCACAGAGCGGCCGTGTGACGTCTGATCGAACGAGAGAAAGAGAGAAAGAACGCGACCTTCTCTATTTCCATCTCTATTCCTCTCTCTCTCGCTCTCTTTCTCCCACTTCCTCTTTGTTTCTTGTCTCCTTTCTTTCCTATCTTTCCTCGTCTTTCTTGAAAAAGCGGTTCTCATGCAGAACTCCCTCTTTTTCTACCACCTGCCCACGCGATCATTCCGATCTTCTATCCTTTTTACTCTCAGACGTTAAAAATTGCAATTTACATTATCTTCTCTCTTTCTCTCTCGCGTCTCCAATTAATTTTGTTTTCTCTCTCTCTCTCCCTCTCACATAGTTGGATGTTCTTCGTCTTCGTCCGATACATTTCGTTTCTTTCTCTCGCACGCGTGCGGTCAGATTTGTTTCTGTCTCTCTCTCTCTCTCTCTCTCTTTCTCTCGCCGTAGCGTTCGTTCGTTTCTCTCTCCCGCCTCTTTCTCCGTCTCGCGCGCCGACGAGGCACGAAGCGCGGCGCCGCGAGCCGAACGTTTCGTTCGTTCAGTCTCAGACTTCGCGTCCGTCGTGACGGACTTCGTTTCTCGCGTTACGACACTTTGGTTCACGCTCGACCGATCCTGATGGAGCACCGTGGATCCAGCAGGTGCGGTGCAGCGTCGTCGGAATAAAAACAACGGAACACAAAGGGAACGGGACGAGAGAAACGAGGAAAAAAACAATTTGTCGAACGAAAATAAACGAAGGATGGGCGGGAGACATGCGCTCGCGACGCGAACAGCAACGACTCGATCGCGAAGGTAGACGCTTCGATATTAAATTTACAATGTGATATTCCGCGTGCGCGTATTTATATATATATATATATATATTTATCGAACACACACAAGTACGTACTTCTCGAATACTCGTTTAAAAAAGAAATGAAATAATACGGTGATACTCGCGCGCGAACGAACTCTTCGCGCGATCGAGAGACTTGTCGAGAGAGTGAAACGACCAACGAGGATTCGTGCAACTTCGTGTGTTGGTTCCGGAACGCCTTCCACGCGCGAAAACTGGTCTCTTCGAAAAAGTCGCGGCGTTCGAAAAACGCGCGCGCGAGCGCGCGCGTCGTTTTGATCGACCGAAAGAGAAGAAGAGCGGCGAATATCCCCGCGCGCGTCAAAAAGCGTGAGATTTTACTCGCGTGGACAAAAAAGTAAAATTTATAAAACCGGCTAGTGCGAAATCGAGAGAAAGAAGCAAGAGAAGGAGAGAGAAACGAAAAGTGGAGGATAGCAACACCCCTTTTTGGGATGTCGACGTGCAAGAGCTGGATTTTGTGGCCGGCGAGGACGCGTTTTCGACACTCGGCAAAATCGCCGACGATACACCGAAGCTGAGATATGATCGATCAGATCGCCGATTGATCCTTTCGACGACTTCCCTTTCGGCGTGTGATTTATGCCACTTTCCTTCGCACTTGTCACACGAGAGTCGGCGAATTCGCGAGAGAAAGAAAGGAATTCTCTCCGTTACCGTTCAGTATCTCGCGCGCGCGCGCGCGCACGAGCATAATCTGGAATTATTCTCGGAGGATTCGGAAAAGGAGCAGCAGGTGAGAATTTTTCAATCGTTGTTTTTTTTTTTTTTTTTTCCGAAGGAAAGTCTGAAATTGCACTTTCTCTACGTTGAAAATGATATTTAATATCGTCTCAATTACATTACACGCGTGGAAAAAATATATATTTTTGAGTAAATATATTTTTTGGAGAGAATTAAATAAAAGCGGAGACAAGTACTGGCTGGATTAAAATAATAATTATAGAATAAAATATTTACACAAGTGAAGTTATACAGAAACTAAAAAAATCTAATGAAATTGAAACGATATAGATTTTGTACCAGTAAAGTACATAAAAGTTTCGAAACAATCAGCTTTTTTTAAATATATTTTTCTTCCTGTTATTATACATGCGATATTTTATAACGCTGATTGGCATAAAAATATCTTGAGTTCTAAAAATATCTATAGTTTTAGTTTTAATAATCTTATGGAAAAATGTTGATCGTTTAGACTTTTTTCTCAAAAAAGTAGGATCTCGGGTTTTTCAAACAAATTCGTGCAACGGTCGTTCAAGGGCGTGAGCGACGCCTGGTGTTAGATTTATTTACATCGAACGGATATATTTCTGCAAAGATTATTTTCAAAATGGTTTTACTTTATTATTCGAACGGTAAATCCGAATAAACAAAAGAACGCGTGATCAATAAATGCCAGATAATAATTACTTTGAGAATGACATTAATATAACGGAAACGAGCACAAGGCTCCGCCTGTCCGTTGATCTCGTCGGCGCATCGCGTTGTGGGCGAACTTCACTCAATAAATGTACGTATCAAGGTTCGAATCGCGCCGTGTAGAGCTGTGTAGATCAAACTGCTTCTTAAGTCCCGTTTACTAAATAAAAAAAAAAAAAAGCAATTTCAACAACCGGAAAATTAGTTAGTCACACAACGCGAAACGTCACGTTTAAAACGACAGATTTATTTTTCAAATTATCCGCGCGCGAGATTTACTTTCTGAATTTAAGTGACAATCACCCACGGATTGCGCAAGTACATAAACGGCATTGCCGTACAGGCATTGAAATCTCCGGTGACTTAAACGCGTCGAAGTCACTTATCCGCGCAGTTCATACGTACAATATTAAATTCATTTTGTATAATTTTGTGACAATACGAAGGCAAATGCGTTAAATTGATTTACGTCAGTGAAAGAACTCGCGCGCGTATTTTAATAAAAAAAAAAACATAAATAAAAAATAAAAAAAAAAGAAAACTTTCATAGACGTGAACAAATTGCTTCCACGTAAATTCTACCGCTCGTTACAGTGTCCTTGAATTTTTCGATTGTCGTAACTCCCTCCTGCGCGCAAACCGAAACCTTAAATCACCTGTGCGACAGCTGTTTCCGTTGTGTCAAACTATCTACATCCGTTGCTCAAATCATATCTTCGTCGACGAATTCCTCAAATAATTGTATATAAATTATTTTTCTCAAACAAGATTCTAATCATATTAATTATATTTGTAGAGCAATGAGCAAATATCTCCGCATAGTATATTTTATTTGAATAATTTTATTTTTCGAGAATAATCAACTCCATCAAAATATTTTCTTTCGTATCTTTCAAAAGACACAGTTCATGTTGTTTTGAAAAAACGGTTCTCAAAACCAATTTTTAATTTATCGAATACAACTGTAAGCATCTCGCGAAATATTCCCGTTACTGATCGCGATCCTATTTGTCTGATCTGTCAAATAACATGAAAAAAGAAATCCGCGTGAATTACGGTAGATCCTCCTCGCGAGACGTCAACGAGACACGGTCTCGTCGATCGCGCGGGGCGCACGCTTCCGGTGTTACATCCGGCGCCAGTTACTGGAAGAGACACGCCAAGGTGACGCGCGTCCGGCCGTCAGTGATCCGGACAAAGACTGCGGTCGAGATTGACCGTGTTTCGTCGCCTCTTGGTGTGTGTGCCAAAAAAGCAAACGTTGCATCTTGCGTGCAGTGCCGTCGCCATCGCCTTTGCGAACGAGCATGTCACTTTCTCGGCGAACTATAGGCGCGAGCATCCGAACGAACGCCTCGGTTATACTAACCCGCCTGAAAACGTGCATCATCGTCCGTCGGCCTTAACCCTCGCGAATGATGACGTCACGATGCGATGTCGCGTTCTGTCGTCCTTTTTTTTTGAACATCCGCAAACCGCAATTCGTAAGGTAGAAACGAAGAGATACGAGTCTCTTCGTTGTATTATAACGCGTTAGAATGAAACGAAAAACAAATGCTAGAGTCTTGTGCTTGGGGGGAATTTATTCGAATAAAAATTGGATGCGATTAATGGGAGAAATAAAATCTAGCGAAACGGAACAGAGAAAAGTTAGAAGAGCTCAAGTTCGGGAAAAGAACGGAATTTGCATTTGAGTCTGATTCTTGATTAACGTTGTTTTAAAGTACGTTTTGAATTATTTACGCATTTTACAATTCATCACACTTGCAAATTGATTTTATTTCTTGAAAACATTTTCTTAGACTAAAAAAAAATCAAACTATCTCGTTAAATTTGTTAATTCTAAGTGATTTTTTCTTCTGATTAAAGAAGAATATTCGAACAAGCGCGCGATCGTGCGTGAGAAACAAAAATTTTTGAAAATTTGCCGCCTCTCGAGAGAGGGAGGGGGGGCGATGTTTGCGCGGTCGATTGTACGCGCGCGGGAGTTCGACCCAATTATTAATAAGACTTTCTCTTTTATTTTAGCCATGGACTGGAGAGGGGTCGCACTGGCATTCCTGATGGTGAGTAAACACAAAAAGCTTGTTTACAATACAATTACGTTGCGCGTCTAAGAAATTCACCTTGAACAAACGAGGCACACGATTCTGTCATCTTACTTCTCTCTTTTCACATTCCTCGCTGACTATAAAAAGTATATAAAAAATTAAATTAAAATAGCACGGTGTGTTAAATTAAAAAAGTCACATATGCTATTAAATTAAACGGCAATGTGTTTTTTTTTTATATTACACGCTATTTCAAGATCTTACACAACAATACTGATGCGCAAAGAAAAATACGATTGAAGTTGAACGTTTCTGCAATGAATGTATGAAAAAAAAAAAAAATAATAATGATTAGTTCTTGGACTCGCAACGTCGAGATGTCAACAATGACACGTAATCAAGAATAGAATATGCGCATTGTCATTTCGGACATTGTGCGAATGGTGACCACAAAATATATACGCGTACGTGTATACACTTTCTCCTGTGCGTGCAACACACGTGCTGGTTGAATATGCGATTGCACATTATGTAATTCTTTGTTGGCGCGCGCGCGTGCGCGCGCACATACACTAGTTCTAATCAAGCGTCATCTCTTAAATTACACCGGCGTTAAACGGCGATATAAATTTGTTATTTAAATCGTCGGTGAAAATTTGACAAATCTCGCCACCGAGAAAGCAGCGCGACGGCTTTCGAAACGATTTTTAAACGGCGAAACGCACACACACACACACGTGTGAGATTTTTTCTCGTCGAATCGCGTCCGATCGCCTGGTGGTGCGTCGAATTATCAACGGGGAAATGTTCGATTGGATTTTTTTCTATTCTCTCTGTCAGACTATTTAACTTTCAGGAGAAAGTAAATTTTTTCATCCATTTAAAACCGATTAAAATATTGCGTATTTACATTTTCGCGATGTCACGGAAACTCTGTAAACAAAAACTGACGTGCTCTCCCCAGGATATTTGAATACACACGGGGGTGTCCCGTAGCTGCTGCCGTTCGCCAGATGGTTTTGTTATGTCACCGTTTCTGACAACAGTCGTGGGATCGTTCCCGTCGTGATAAAAGGTTGACGGGATTTAATGTCGTTAACTCATTCAGAAGGCGGTTAATTTCAGCCGCGTTACGTAACACATAATAATTGACAATTACGTCTTAACTCGGCGTTTACGCGAAGCACTACTTAAGGATGCACGAAATGCATGTCGCGCCGCCGACGACGAGGGACGACGCGACGGGGTGACGTAAAGAGCGAACCGAGCGTCTCCGTTAAACTCGTCATTTACTGTGTTGTACACACAGCCGTGCGTTATATTATTGTATACAAAAAAATATACACGACGCGATTGCGATATCTCGAAGTCAATTTCGAGACAATTCCGTTTGGTAAAACGTGCGTGCGCGCATGTGCATGCGCGAGGTAATAATTTTGCAAAGTCTTGCAAAATTAGTCTTCGTACGATTTGCAACAACAGCATTTTTTTCCGACGAGAACGGAATTTTCGCGTTCTCTCTTTCGATCGGTGAACCGTAAACGCGAGGAGGATTCGCGTGTCGTGTTTGATCGAAACACCCCGTGCACATATAAGAAGGAAAGACAATCCGTTCGGAACCGCCACGCCCACTTTTACCTCGTGTTCTTTTAAATATCGGCTCGGGATCTCTGGGAGAGAGACTGCGGAGTCCGCCTTTCCACAGACATTTCACTCGACACGAGAGTCATAAGAGCGTCGATATAACATTACGAAGTGACGTTATACGAATGCGCGCTCCGCGCTCGGTGTTACGCGTTTTCCCTCCGTCCGTTTCTTTGCCGCAGAAGAACAGAAACTCGAGATCGAGAAACCGAGCTAAATCAAGCAGACAACGTTAGCTATTTCCGATAGACTTTATCGTTAATTATATACATAAAGTAGGTCGCGTATATAATTATGTATATAAATTACACATGACACACATTATCACAAGTGTCTTAATGATCCAACATTTATTGACCAGACATTTATTAAACAAGCAATTAGATATGTAAAAATTTTAATTACAACAATTTTCAATATTTTAAGTGGTCTTTAATTTTTTTTTATTAGTTTTCTTACACACGTAGACACTTCGTTTCAATTATTGTTTTAATAAAAATGTTCGATGGTTCATTTATCTTCATTGGGTCGGTGCAAAAATAATTGCGGTTTATTTATTAGATAACAAGAATCGTCAATTTTTTTATTTTCGCGATCAACTTGAAATGAAACACGTTTCTGTGAAAAAAAAAATTAAGAAATATATTCTAAATATATCTTCTGTGAGCATAACTTTTCCGTTGTGAGTTTTATGAAAAAAATCTCTAAAAGAAAACTCAACAATTCGTGAACTGTTCCCTCCCGAGAGCGTAGAAACTCGCCAACGATAACGTCCCTGGCAAACATTCTATTTAACAAGTCTTTCGGAAAAATCAATAGACACGTGGTGTGCCGACGGAGAGAAAGTAAAAAATCTCTACAAATTAAATATGTACGCACATACTTCACTTCTCTCTCTCTTTCTCTTTCTCTTTAAACGAACAAATAGTAGTAGTGCAAATATCACCGATAACAGAGTTCAATTGTACGCATCGCTCTTCGTGTAAATTTGTTGATTCGACGGCCAAGTCCAAATTAGGAATCGACAGTGAAATTATCCGAGTAGCGAGCGAACGAAGTCTCGCAATACGCTCGATCGATCGATGTCGACTGAAGAGAATCGCGGATGTTCGAAAATTTATCGCGAATAAATTTGTCTGACCACGCGAGACAAGGATTTTTCTCTGTTGAAAATATATCTCGTGTCGGAGAACGTTCGTTCATTAAATATCCGCGTTCGAACGTCCTGACGTAATCGCGGTTTCGCTTCACGGATGACAAATCAATGTCGCGGGAGAAGCGCGCGACAGAAAATCGAGAATGAGTAAGTGGCAACAGCCGCGAAGTGTATCTGCTGCATTAGGCAGCAAGGAGCGAATCATATGGGCGGTGATCTCTCAAGGAGATCTCGGCCCACGTTTAGATCGACGATCACGGCTATCTGTTGCGGTGGCTGTTGCGCACACACTGCTCCATTTACCCATTAAACCGCTTGACGTTCAAGGATCGGTTCTATAATACTGTGACGACCGATATGGAAATCGCAATCGATGTTGTGACAATAAGAATTTTTAAATCATCGTCAATTTACATTCAAATCGCGGACGACGGATAATTGCGGTGCGAAAACAAGAGAATCCTTCAGTTGTTCTTTTCGGTTTGCTATAAAGGGACATACGTGAACACTTTGCGATGAGCGAAGCATTGTGAAAGATCACAAACGGATTCTCGATGAACTCATTGGATGTGAAGCCTTATATGGTTCGGTTTGCCGCCGGCTGAGTAAACTCGATGCGTTTTAGCGAGATGTATCGCCGCGTTCGAATCGGACGTCTGCCGACGTCTTCGGTTCCGGAGGATTAAATCACGCAGGAAAAAATCGATTCCGCGAAATTATCCGCCGTAAACTTACGTTTAATCAAAGTTACTTCGTAAGTTAATCAAATTGATGGGATATAATGAGTCGCGATAAAAGTCTACCGTAGTTTTCTCGCGCCTTCACTTAGGCGCTTTATTACAAACACATTTGAATATATACACGGGGGACAAAGAGAGAGAGAGAGAGAGAGAGAAAAGGACGGAAGAGGAGAGAATGCAGAGGGACTGCGTCGTTTCGTGTGTTACACTTGAACGACCAGTGGACTCGTTCGACGACTTTCATTGCGCGGACCAACACGCGCCGGCCGTCGCTAACGTCAGCGTTTCCCTGCGAAGACTTCGATCGGGAAACTTTCCGTCGCATTGGCAACACGCCGAAATGATACATTTTATGTAAAATTTGGATTTCAATTAAGGATTTCCTTCGCGAGGAAAAAGATGCGAAAATTTAGGCAACAGAAAATTCTTTAAAATCGGTCGTGCCTGAAAAAACCACCTAAGATGAATGTTTAATAGCCGGACCGATGACCGGACATTTAGTGTGTCAAAGAAATTAGTGTGTTTTAATTTAGTGTGTTAAAGAAATTATTATTATTATTATTGGAAAAATAAAAGAAAAATAAAAGACCAGTAAAAGTCCGAACATGGCTGGTTGTGTTTTTTCCAATTTGTTAACGTTGTATGAAAACCTCGGAAAAAACACCAACCGTATTCGGATTTAAATCAGCCTTTCCCCGTACATTTTTCAAAATTTAGATCCAAATGTCATTCTGTCGATCATTACTAAACAAGTCAAAAAAAAAAAAAAAAAAAAAAAAAAAANAACCGATTCATAATACGAATACGTAAACCCGTCGGTTTAAGTGAGTTTTTACACACCGGTTTTTTAATTGAAAGCTCTCTCGTAGTTTTAATAAACATGTCTCTTGTATTACAATTACATTACGATTGCGCGCACAGACGTTGCTTGTTGCGTGAAATTACCAGCTATACGAGACACACGGCGGTAACGAGGACGTTTTGTATTAGACAGATGGAAAGCAATTACAAGAGTTACTTGTGTATACTCAGTCGCTAATCTAAAAATAGACCGGTGGCATTACGTGTTACGTCGAATAGCATAATTAGGAGCGAACTTACCCGCGGTTGTACGTCGGATGCGTTGCACGTCTTTTCCATTAACGGCTTCCCTCGGTCGTCGTTTCTATATACGTGTTTGCAAAGACTCGTCTCAGCTCGTCATTCATTTACAACCTTGTAAAACAAGGAGCCGTCAGGTTTCACTCAAGAAATTAATCATCACTTTATTACTTCATTTCCTTTCTTCGTCGACGAGAGAAAAACCGGAGTTTTGTGAGGTTTTTTTTTTTTTTACCGACGACCTTGAACAATTTCTTTCCTCTCTGTGTGAAACCGAATGATCGTTATAACTCCAATATATTTCCCGTTTTCTCTCTCCCAGTGATAATATCCGATGCCTCGTGTGCTCTTCTAGGTTGTGAATTTTTTTTTTGTCTTATAAATAGCAATGACGATCGTCGGTATTGATTTGCACCGCGAGAGGTAAAACCGACTCGTAACATCCTGGAAAAGGAGGATGACGAGAGACGATCGATTCTAATCGGGACTTGACATTTTCGCGAGAGACTTTCACATATCGCGGTTAGCCGACGACGATGACGATCAATCATCGCCGCGCGTCTAATAATATATCAAATGGTGATCGTTAAATTAATACTTGGGTGCGAAATATATGTGTTGGAGATTTGTCCATCCAGGTATATTAATCTGTTCTTCCATCTTGCAAACTGATCTTTCTTTCGAAATAAAGAAGAGGTTCTCTCTGGACGTTTTGTATTTGAAGAATAATTTTTTCACGAGTCATTTTCCCTTTTACACATAAAAATGTTGTATAGAAAAATTAAATCTTATGGGATGTACAATTGTTTTTTTACTTATATACACTGAGAGGAAAATTATCTTAAAAGAAAAGTGTTTATTTTATTCAAGAAAAAATTATTTATATTCGGTGGATGCTAATGACGTATTTATTTATTTAAATAATAAATTTTATCTGAAGATCGAATGCGATAAAATTGTCGCTCACTTAAAGACGTCGCTGCAAAAGCATCGCGTTTTGTCGATCGTCATTCGTAATTACACGCGTAACGAGCGCACATCCGTTTCAGACCGTTTTATGGTTCAAAGGAGAATCGGCTGCTACTTTTTCTCTCTTTCCCGACCGAGGCACAATCGCTTGCGCCTCTTTCATCAATGACTTCACCAGAACAGACACACCATCCAATGATATCACGCTGCCAATTGTGGCAACCTGCCCCGTCACCTCTCGATAAACACGGGAGACCGGGTAAAAGGCGCTTTTTTGCCACTTTCCACTTTTTCCAGACTCCTTTCTCGATGTTTACCTAACGCCTGTTATATCCACAATTTTTACGTAATTCTCATATTTCCACGACTCTTTTCTCGTTTGCAAATTTCTTTCCGCGTCTCATCCATTGTAAGCGATATATATTCTCCATATTCATGTCGCAAATCTTGTCTCGCCGGTTTTGAGAGCAAATTCTTCGCAGCTCGAGGGAAATCTCGTTTTCCCAAGAAATGTGGAAAATTAAAATTTAATACGCGAAAAAAATAAGCTTTCGTTGTTACGCGGTCAGCAAGAAAAATTTGCCTACTGAAGTTTTTCATCAAAATAATGTTTTAATGTTGGCAAACCAAAAAAACAAAAACTTCAATGGGCAAATTTTTCTAGCTGGTCATGTAGTAAAACTAATCCTCTTTGCTGTTCCAGCACAAAACTTTTTTTTCGCGTATATATGTGCTAATTTCTATTCTAAACGTGTATTTAATTTAAAGTGTGTTCGCGTTACAAGATTGCGTGTGTTACGCGCCGGTTCGATTTCGAAGCGATACATGTTTCACCAACCAACGGCTGACATCGGGGGGGAACAGCGCATGCCGCGAGTTACAGCGCCGACACAATTGTATCTTATTATAAGCGAGGAGATCTAAAACACTGCCTTTCCACTCTTTTCCAGATCACAATAACGAGGCAAGGCGATAGCGGCACACACGCGGCCCAGATATATCAACAACCGCCGACGTGTAAGTACATGTGCAACATATGTGTGTATATATACACCGCAGCGCGAGAGAGAGACTCACTTTCTAATTGTTCGCGATAACTAATTAGAGTGAATCAGGCGCTAATATTCGCGTACGCGAAGAAAATTTGCGGGATATGTTATAGATCCTACGTCTGCAGATTTTTCTTTCTTTCTTTTTTTTTTTTAATTTAAAATACGTCGCATAATGGATTTTCTCTCGGTGGAAAAATCGCTCGTCGTTCCGCACGCGAGGCAAAAGTGCCGGATAATCAGATAAAAGTCGACGCTTTCCACGTGATGTGCACTTTCTAATGACGGCAACAATACGAGCGATGACAATGATTTAAGAAGAGAGAGGAATGTGTTTGGTGTAACGCGATAAAAGAAAATAATAATAATAATAATAATTTTATTACAGAAAAAAAGATCAAACAAATTTGGCCACATATTCACATTTCTATGTTACGAAATGTGAATATTCGTGGCCTCGGCATTCAGGCCGCGAGACTACTGGGTCGGTCGATAATAATTTTATTAGAGACGCGTAAAAAATTTATAAACAAAAAAGAAAGTGCTTTAAAAGGCGAGACAGCAGTAACTTTATTGTAAATACAGATAAAATAAATAAGTACGAGAAATATAAGAAATATTTAAATAGAAACACGGTTTCTCGAATCTATCGAATCTGTAGAAAGGACTTAATGTGCTAATTACCGGAAACTAATTACCCGCGTGCGTGAACAGTCGCGCGTTTGAACGCGCAAAACTTATTCAGCGATAACGCGTGTCGCATATTTAGTTGCAAACAATATAAAATACTCGTCTTGTCGATAGTAAAATTACATCGAGTCGAATATCAAGTCTGAAAAATTGAGGAAAAAACAACCTGCACCTCTTGATTACACAACCGCGTCTATTATGCGAGCGACAAATTAATCAGACTGTTATTTACCGATCGAGAATTTGCGCATTTCATTAACAACCTCAGAAAAAGAGAAAGTCGTGTTTATTTCCCGATCGACCGTAAAGCTTTACAGATCGAAGCGAGAAAGAGAGAGAAAGTGAGAGAAAGAAAGAGAACGATTAACGAACGCTGCGGATGGTTAATTTAACGAAAGGGAAAAGCGTCGCTCGCGTTCGGATGAGAGCCTTTCCAGACGAGACCGACCGACCGACCGACCGACGACCTTCCTTGGAAGACATTGCTTTTGCTAGAAGGTGAACGCAGCCGTGCGACCTAGATTCTCATGTGGAAAGGAGCGGAGTCGCGCGTTCTCAGGAAGAACAGAGAGAGAGAGAGTGTGTGTGTGGATGTGCGAGGTCTGTAAACGCGCGGCACAAAACGAGATGACGATTATAATCGGGACGTGGTATAGTTGTGAACAAGCGTGTGTACAACAACAACAACTACCCGCGATATCCTCCCGTGGCATCGATGCGAATCGAAAGTCCCTACAGCACCGCTTGACACTTTCAGCCTTTTACCTCAAGCAGCGGAGTCTCGAGACCGCGAGTCAAATTTCACATCACGAACAAACACGTTGGCGTATGCGCCGTGGTCTTCGCGATTTGAATTCATTTAGCGCGAATATAAATTAGCCTGAGATAAACGTTTCCGATGACACCACTCGGAAATCGATTAAGGAAATATATTGTAACAAATGTTTGTGTAAAATCAGGGGACTAAAATATTTTAAAAAATACTCAAAACGTTGACAATTATTCCCATTGTAGGAATTGACGAACGGCCCAGTATTGGGTCAATATCGGCAAACGAGGCTCGATATTGGTACGACAGTAGTAGCCAGTACTGGGCGAATATGCTTAATGATTAGATCGAGCCAACGCTGGCTCTTAAGCTCGGCACGATACT